TCGCTGGGCTGTAGGAGGCTGTGCTCGGGCCTTCATGGAATATTAGAGCTGGGAGGGAACGGGAACTCCAGAGGTGATGGAGTCCGGCTGCTCCCGGGCCGGGCTCGGCAGAATTTGGGACACACATCCCGAGAAGGCTTTGGAATACCGGGCACGGGCTTTCCGAACTGTGCCCGGGACACCTGGGCTACACCTGGGACAAATGATTGGTAGCCAGGACACCGGGTTTGTGCCCGGGACCACCTGGTTTGTACCCAGGATAAATGGTTGGTGCCCAGGACACCTAAGTAGTGCCTAGGATAAATGGTTTGTGCTTAGGACACTGGGTTTTGTACCTAGCATAAATGGTTGGTGCCCAGGATAAATGGTTTGTGCCCAGGACACTGGGTTTTGTACCCAGGATAAATGGTTGGTGCCCAGGACACCTGGTTTGTGCCCAGGATAAATGGCTTGTGCCCAGGGCACCTGGTTGGTGCCCAGGACAATTTGCACCCAGGACAATTTGTACCCAGGACACCTGGTTGGTGCCCAGGACACCTAGTGCATGCCCAGGACAATTTCTGACCAGGACAATTTGTACCCAGCACACCTGGTTCATACCCAGGACAGCTGTTTTATCCTCAGGATAACTGGTTCATACCCACTTCTTGCACCCTCTACACCACGTTCTTTGGAGAACCCCGTTGCTGTGCTTGTGGGAGTGGGGTACAGGGCTTTGGGAGTTTCTCAGCCCTGCTGGAATCCAGCTAATCCTGTGATGTCCTTACCTCGAGGCTGGCATGATGGGATGCTGCAGCACTGCCTGACACTGATGGAATGCAGTGGTTGTACAATTGAATTCCGCCTCCAGCTGTAATTCTGTTGGAGTTTAGGCTTTGCTGCTGAAATAAATTAGGGAATCTGCTGCCTGGCTTGGCTGCAGACCTTCCCAGGAGCGGAGGTGTTGCTGCAGAATGCAAATGTGCCCTTTCTTAGCATAAAAACATTGTTCCAGAGATGCACTTTAGACCTCAAGGGGCCATTAGAGGCTCCTAATCCTGTACTGGTGACCAGAATAGTCTGCAGCAGGCAGTTTGGGAAGGGTTTTATTGCTTTTCCATATGCTCAGGACAGCTTAATGTGTTGCACCAGTTGGCTCCAAGGTCCCAAAGCTGCCACTGATCCTGGAAATCTGAATTGATGCCTGCAGCAGTGGTGGCAATTTGTGTGTGGAGAGGCTGAATGTGCTGGCAGAAGGAGCTTCTAAGAGGGGAACTAGAGCCACAGGGCTTCTTTAGCCATCTCATGGAATGAGATTTGCTGGATTTCCAGGGTTGGGATGCTGTTTGTGCCACCCTTTTAGTGGCTGGATCTGCTGGAGCCTTGGGGGTCACCTGCAGGGGGATGTGGCTGTCCCTGTATCCTCTCTCCTGCAGAGACCTTTTCCTTACTCTTCCTACTTCATCCTGGCATGGTTTGTGTTATCTTTACTCTTATTTTAACCATTCATGGACCAACATTGAGTTCTGGGGTGAGCTGGGCTCATTCTACCCCAATAAAAAACCAACAGGGAAAACATTGTGGACTGGGAAAGCAGCTGAGCAGGGGCTGTGCCAGGCAGAGACACCGGGGTGAGCCGGATCTTCCAGCTGAAATAGAAATCCAGTTACCCTCCAAGCTGTTCCTTGTCATCTGTGCTGATTTCCCTAATCAATTACAGGTTATTTTTAGCCCCCTACAGGTGTCCTGGCACCTTGTCCTGGGTGATTCCCTACAATGAGGCAGGTGACAGCAGTGGCCTCGCAGCAGGAGGGGCACAGATCTCACAGCAGCAGCCAATAACGTTCTCTGGGGCTGTGTATTCACCGTCAGATCTTGTTGGGGCAGAGTTTCAGATCCATTCTGGGAATCCCAGGTGTTGTTATTCCTGCAGGCCGAGCTGGTGGGAGATGGAGGGGAAAAAGCTGGAGCAGGACAGCAGATGGGCAGTATCCAGCAGTGCACTGGGAATTCTGATTGTCCCTTGGAACAAGGAGGGATTTTGCTGTGGAGATGCAAAACCAGACTTGTGTGACACTTGTGTCCCCTGCAGATCCCTGACCCCGAGGCCTGTGACCAAATGTACGAGAGCTTGGTCAGGATCCACACCAACTTCTACAAAAACAAGGTGAGAGCTGAGGCACTGGCCTCTGCCCCTCTTTTGGGGGGCAGCCACCACCTGCTGCAGGATTCCTGGGGATGGCAGCTTGGCTGGGAGTGCCTGAGGGACAGCTGAGGGGTGGATGATGCAGCTGTGCCTGTGGTCACCCTTGGCAGCTGCTGGGTGAGCAGGGCAGGCCTGGTTCTTGGTGTGGATGAACAGAATCCCAGCTAAAACGCTCTCAGACTGAGCCAGCTGGTGACATTTGTGCCTTTTTCATGCACTACAAGTGAATTCTTTGTCTCTCTCCTTCCTTTTGCTGCTTTGCTGGGAAGTACCCACGCCTGAAGGACACCACCTTCACCGGGGTGACAGTGGAGGATTGCAGGACAATCCTGGCCACAGGTACTGCTGCTGGGCTTGGGCTGAGAGGGCAGGGGAAGGGCACATTCTGGGTTTTGGGGTGCTCCCTTGCACCCCTCCTCATCCCCTGGGACTGGAGGGCACCAAGGGGCTGCCTGCAGTTCTGTGGAGGTGTTGGATGAGGAGTAAGTTCAGGAATAATTCAGTTGAGGAGTAACTCAGTATTTTGGGGTGAGGAATCAATTGGATTTTGCACTGTCAGGAACCACAGAGAGTTTGCAAAGGCTCTGTGGGGTCAGACAGCAGGAACACGTTTGCTACATCAGCCCAACCCTGAGCTCAGCTTCTCTTTCACCATCTTCCAATTCCCTTGGTATTCCTTGTGTGCCAGACCCTGGAAAGGAGCAGGTGCCCCACACAGAAATGCTCTCACCACATTCCTCATGAAGGGCAGAGCTGGGAGCCAGAGCTGCTTTGTTCTGCTCCACTTCCTGACTTTGATTGCAGTGCGTGGAAAGTGAGTATCAGTTGTTGGTGATAAGAGACTCCCTGCATTGATTGGAAGGGAAACCAACCTCGCCTCGGGCCTGGAATGAAAATTCATTAAGAAGAGAAGTCAGGAAAGGAAATTAGATGGAAGGCAGAGCTGTTTTAAGAGGGTTTCATTTCTCTGCTTGCCTGCTTATCTTCTTCTGGCCCATCTCTGTCTCCCTTCTCCTTTTGCAGACATTCTGAGACAGATGGAAGACAGGAAAAAAGGGACGTGGAAAAGACTGCGGGAAAAGTTCTCTGCCAAGAAACCCGAGGAGGGTTGAAGTGAGGGCCCAGCTCTCAGCTTCTCCACTGTACATATCCCTGAAGCTCTGTGTGTTGCCATGATGAATAAAACCACTTATTCCTCTTAGCAACAGCATTTTTGTTCAGCCCTACCCTTTACATTCTTCATATTTAGTGCCTCCTTTTTTGCTGCTGAGAATCTGGGGCAGAGCTTAACACATCCATCCATGCTGGAGCAACGGAGGGAAGGGAACTTTGTGGTGTCAAACCTGACCCTTTGCATCTCAAAAAATGGAACAAGCAGAAGCTGCCCAGAGGGAGGAGGTGCAGCTTTAAATGTTCTTGTGAAGAGAACAGAGAGGATGTGAAAACCTCTCTGTGCTTGTGTTTGTGTGTTAGCCCAGGGACCAGGGAGGGAGAACTTTAATCACCACATTTATTTTCCTTTGGAGAAGACAGAGGACAGAGGGTGACTTTGCCATGGTGACAGTGGAGCACGAGTTTAATTGAGATTTTAATCAGCTGCTGCTGCTGGAGGAGCCAGCTCTGTGCAGAACCTGAGGAGAGGGATGTGTGGGTTAGTGCAGAGCTGAGGGTGAAGGCAGGATTAAATGACATGCTGCTAGATGGAGCCATAAACACATTTCAAATGTTCTGCAACTTCACTGTTATGGGCTTTTTTATTCTCTTTTAGAGCTGTACTGCTTTCATCAGTGTCTGTTCTTGGGCTTGGAGCTGGGGCTGGCTTGGGAAGGATGAGTGTCTGGAGCAGAGCTGTGCCAGGGCTCCACAGCACCAACAGCTGCTCCTTTTTATGGCTTTCAGCAGTGATTTCCTGGCAGGCACTGAAAGAATTCAAAACTGCAGCAGGCTCTGGTCCAGAGCTCCAGGAACCAAGGCTGGTGCTGGTGGTGGCTCCTCATGGCAGCGTTTGGCAGGGGATGTGCAACACCTGGAGCTGGGAGCAGCAGGCTGGGGAGCACCTTGGGTGCCAGCCCTGCTTGGGGTTCTGTTCCACAGCCCCAACACACAGAGGGCACAGGGAAGGGACTTTCTTTACCACGTTGAAGTTTTTATTATAACATGATTCTGTATTTAATTTAGTTAAGGCAATTTACACTTCAGTTCTTAAGTAACAATGATAACAACTAAAAAAAAAACAAAACAACAACAAAAAAAAGGTAAAACATGACACCAGAGATGAAACTAAAACACAGGACACCCCTTCACAGTGAACTCCTGTAAACCTGCAGGCTCCTACTACTGCTGCCCAAAGATCCTTGGTCCACAGAAGGCAAAAGACTTTTAGTTCCCACTAGGACAAGCTCAGCCCCTCATCTGGCAAGTTAATTAAATTAAACCCACCTCCTTGAGTTCAGCTGCTCTTTCCTGCACCACAGGATGGAGAGAATTCTGTCAATGGAGAGGGGTCAGCGTGGAGCAGGCACAGCAGATAACGAGGGCTGCTTGGCAAATACCCACAGGGACAAGTGGCACTCGGAATAAGTTAAATAGTGCGGCCCTACAGCTACTTACCCCACAGCTGAGGGGGGCTGGAGCACATGGAGATAAAGATACAACCCTCCACAGTTGCAAAATAAAAGAGTTATTGCAATGAGGAATGAAAGTCCTGTATGGTTTATCTTCCTACGAGGGTGTTGGAAAAACACCTGGGCCCAGGTGTGGGCTCCGGCCGGTCCCTGCTCCTGGGATTGCTTACAAGCTCTAAGGGAGATGCTGCCTGGGAAGCCCTTTCCATGTGGTCCATTGTCCCCAGGCAGTGACAATCCATGCCTGGAGCCCAGGGAGGAGCAGCCTCAGCTGCCACAGGTGCAGTCCCTCGGTGGCAGGAGCTGTCTCAGTGGTTCATGGTGTTCTGCACATCCACAAACCCCATCCTCTGCCTGCGCTTCCGCTGCTCCGTCATCTGCAATTCCAACAGGGACGTGCTGAGGCAATTCCAGGCCCTCCTGCTCTTGGATGTGCTTCCCAAGTGTCTGACTGTGCTGCTTTGAGCCTCTGCCAGCAAGCTCTGAGCTGGTGAGGCACTTCCCAAACCCACGTGTCCCAAGTGTCCCCATTTCCCCCAAAAAAGAGCTGCAGGAGCCCTGTGCTTGTCTTTGTGCTGCCTTGGGCAGGTCCTTTCTGCCATTCCCTGCCCTCAGTAGCTATTTTGGGAAGGACAGAGGATTCCTACAGGGAATTTCCCATTTCCATACCTGTTCCTTCAGCTCGTTCAGCTGGGAGGTGAGGTGGGACACGAGCTTCATGGTGGTGTTGAGTTTGTCCTGCAGATTGCGGATCTCGTTCTGCTCCCCTTCCCCTTCATTGCTGACCAGAGACATGGCTCGCATCCGGGGGAACCAGTCCAGGTTCTTGTTCTGGGAATGTGACCAAGGGCAGTTGGGGTGAGGGGTCAGAGAGGAGGAGGGAAGATAGGGTTTAACAGGCAGCCTCCCTGTGCTTGGGGATTAAACAAACTCTTTGCAAAAATCTGCCATTTTTCCATGCATGGTCCATTTCTAGGTTGGTTCATGGGCTTAAGTGCAGAAGTTTTTCTTTGCTTGCTTTCCTTTCCCTCCCTTCCCATTGAAGCCCCACTCCCTGCTTGGTTCAACCCTTCAACCCACAGGACAAACCCTCAAACAGACCATGTGGAAAAAAACAGCAAAGAACAAACTCAGGCACTGCACCATTAGCCAATAATTTCCAAAAGGACTTCCCAGAGCTGTTTTTCCTTGTTCCCGGGGCAGGCAGGTTGGGATGGCCAAGGAGCTGCCCTGAGGGCACCTGTACCTTGATCATCTGTGCCACGTAGCTCTCAGGGCCGGTGTAGTCAGTCTTGTTCTTCACCCGCACCAGCACGATGAAGTACAGGTAGTTCCACATGTTGTGCTCATATTTGATGTGCTCCTCAAAGGACACGGTCTTGTTGTCAAACTTGTCCCTTTCCAGCCCTGGGAAAGGCAGGGAAGGGTGGAGAAGGACAGGGAGGAGTTGGGGACGAGGTGAGTGAGCAGCAAACACATGGAAGGAAATTCAGCCCAGTGCATCCCCTCCCAAAGGTGACATTTAAGTGCTTTTAATAATTAGTTGGCATTTAGCACATAAACATCCAGACCAGGGGGCAACAACCCAGCTGGGGGCTCAGGAGACTTCTGTTTAAAATCACAGAATCAGAGAATCGTGGAATGGTTTGGGTTGGAAGGGATCTTCCACCCCCTTCCACTATCCCAGGTTGTTCCAAACCCTGTCCAACCTGGCCTTGGACACTTCCAGGGATGAGGCAGCCACAGCTTCTCTGGGCACCCTGTGCCCAGGCCCCACCACCCTCACAGGGAACAATTTCTTCCCATGTCCTGCTGGCTCTGCCTCTGCACAGTAAAATAAACCCAGAAGATCTTTAGAGGAAAAAAGGAAAAAGATTTACTGGGGTTTTCTTTTTTTTTAATGCCTACTGCTGACTGAAAGGATTCCAGAGCATTTTCTCTATTATATTTCTCCAGTGATATGCTGCTTTTTTACCCAGCTGGCCAAGGGAAGGTCTCAGCAGTGAGATGCACAGCCACAAGAATCCCACAATGTGGTTTTAGTTTAACACCTCATTAGCAGGGTGAAGAACAACTCTGAGAATTTCCCTCCAGCTGTGCCCTTGTTTAAACCCCTCCCAGTGCAGTGACCCCTCAATGAACAGATTCAAGTTTTGCAGTGATAAATAAAAAACAGAATCCAGCTGAAATTCTTTTCCTTCCCCCAACCTGGGAGGGGAGGAAGAACTTTGGGGCAATTCCTGTATTCCCAGTGCTCACCACAAATAAAACAAGTGGTCTTCAGGATCTCTTCCTTCTTCTGTTTCTCACTCCTCAGATCAGCAAAGGTGTCAATGATGACCCCAAAGATGAGGTTGAGGACAATGATAATGACAATGAAGAAGAAGAGGAGGTCGTAGACAACTCGAGCAGGGAACAGGGACTCCTGTAATGGACGAGAGGGAGAGTTGGGTGTCTTGCACAGCTCTGCTCCAGCCAGCCCAGTGACACAGCTGTGCCTGAGGCACCAGGGAGGAGGAGAACGTGAGAGATGGAGCTGGATGTGTTGCAGCTCCCAGGGACAGGGGCCAGCAGTGATTGCAGCAGGGTTTGGCAGAGGAAAGAAGTCCCAGGTGCTGTCCCCACTCACGTCCTTGGAGGGTTTCCTCAGGATGTCCCCCACGCCGCCGCCGTTGCGCAGGCCGTGGTTGAGGACGGTGACGATGCACATGAGCAGCGTGTCACAGGCACGTTCCCACTGCTCTGGCTCAGCTTCTGGGGAGGAGAGCAGGGCAAGGACTGAGAGCACAGCACAGCACCAGAGCCTGGCAGTGGCACAGCTGCAGTGGCAGTGACACAGGAGCAGCTGCTGCTGTAGTGATGTCCCAGCCAGCAGCTCCTCCAGCAGCCAAACGCTCCTGCAGCTCCCACCTCCTTTCTGATTAAATCAATCCACCCCAACATTTTTTATGCCAGGGTCAGTGCAAAATTCACAGGCCTCTTGCCCAATACGTCCCAGGAAGCAGATTGAGTTTCTGCCTTGGAAAAGCTGGGATTTTCCTCAGCTGGCTGGCAAATCCACGCTGCCACACACAGCTGGCATTTCCACAGGGCTCTCTTACCTTCCAAGGCAGTGGGTGCAGCAGAGCAGCTGATTTTGTCACTGCTGCACGACTCCATGAAGGTCTCCACGTTCTTTTGCATCCCCAAGGGATCATCTGCAAGGAAGAGACCCCAGCCCTTTGAGAGCAGCACCTCTCCCCAGCAAACCACTGCCATGGGCTCCTAGGAAGATGCCAACCTTCCTGGGAAAAGCTTGCCTCATATCCTCCTGCTTTTTGTAGGCCCTGAAGCTTTTCCTCAGAGTTGAGACCCCACAGAGCTGACCCTTCTCTGTGCCCCCTTCTCTGCCAGCACTGACCCCAAACCCTGCTCTGTGCAGCACGAGCACAAAGCTGTCCCCTCTGGGACCCCCAAACCAGTGTAAAACCCCACCCAGCACACCCCGAGACGTGCGTGGAGGGTCCCACAGTGCCCCACGAGCCCCACCACTGCCCAACCTTTGGCTTTGCTGTCCGGCAGCCGGTCCACCTCGAGGATGAAGTCA